TCTCTCTCTCTCTCTCTCTCTCTCTCTCTCTCTCTCTCTCTCTCTCTCTCTCTCTCTCTCTCTCTCGGCTCGGCTCGGGTCGGCGCGCGTCGCGGGGCGAGCGCGCGTCAAATCAATCGCCGCGCCGACGCGATTACCGACGCGACGCCGTACGTCGCGGACCCTTCGGCGACGAGCGGCGGCGCAAAACGGAGCGGGGGCTCGATCAGGCGGTGAACGCGGCGCGCTGGATAGATAACGGATGTGTACACCAGGTGCCACCGGAGCGGGGACGGCGAGGGGCAGCGGCGCCTCGCGCTCGGAACGCTCCCTTTTCCCCGCGGGATTATTATTAACAACCGCCTGTCACTGTGCCGCGCGAGATACCTTATCTTTCGTAGATACACGTATAAAGGACGCGCAGTGAATGCGGACTCGCGAGTGTCGCTGACATTCATTTAAATCCCGCCGAGTGAAACGGTGCCCCCAGGGATGTCCGGCACGTTTCTGTACTTCGCTTACGGGAGCAATTTGCTCGCCAAGAGGATACGTCTGAGCAATCCGACTGCGGTCGCGAAGGACATCGGTTGCATAAAGGTATAATGTATTCCTTATGTTACTGCCCAAGTTTCTCTGCCGATCGTGGCGGAATATCGGTGTCGATATTGTTGCAGACTTTGCGCACACACGGAGAAGCGCTCTTTAATATTAATTGTAACGCCGGTGTGCTTTGCAAAATAATAATACGTCACGTGTATATTCTAGACTAAATCTTGAAAGTGAAGGGGGTAACGTTAGAGGTCATTTCCAAAGCTAGGGAGACCTAAAATACTTGGGAACTTTTCCCCTAGCTCGCAAATGCAAGCTAGAAAGTGTCAATACTAATCTCTTACTTTTCTATATATTTACATGCGCAATATAAATATATAGATTTTGTTACAGAATTTCAGGCTGGATTTTCACCGTCACTCGAAACGATGGCAAGGAACGTCCGCGACAATTGTGGAAACGGAGAATTCGGTCGTGTGGGGCGTAGTCTGGGAGTTGGACAAGTGCAACTTAGCTACGTTAGACCGGCAGGAAGGAGTGCACGATAATATATACCGCGCGATGCCGGTGAACGTTGAAACCCCTAGTGGTAAGACTCTAAATTGCAGAGTGTACCAGCAGTGTAACAATCCGGAGGAGTATGTAAAACCAGAGGACTATTCGATGGATAAGAGGCCCTCGCCGTTGTACATGTACGTGATACACGACAAGCTTGGGAAGAAAATCATTTTAACGGCGATTATTTACTTGTGTCGAGGGGTGAACCGCTGGCCAAAATCATGCACCCCAATGGCAAAATTATAATTACGAAAGTTGTACTGTATCGAGGGAGCCGTAACATGTTAGTGATATTTTTTCAGAAAGTAGAGACGCTTGGGAGATTTCACGGTCACCTCTCTATATCCAAGACTGAAATCTAAGACTGAACAAGCCTTGGTGTGCACAGTGCGCACTAGTGCAAGCTGCCGAATTCGATATTGTTTCATCTCATTTTATCTTCATAATGCAGGCCCAGCAAGGCTTAATGCCCAGTAATACCAAAAATTTGTACACCACAATGCCATGAGCGGTTTACCCCTCGACTTGCATCTCCGACCTTTCTGTTATAAAAAAGAAAACTTGTCTCAATCGTTTTGTGTAGAAGCACGATATTAAAAGGGGCCGAGGAGAACAGTCTTCCCGCCGATTACATAAAGTTCTTGAAAACTATCCCGCATAACGAATACGAAGGAGAATACGGCATTGGGTGAGCAACAAATTGAGTCATAAACTCTTAATAAAGAACGTAAAGCTTTGTTCTTCACGTAATAAACAGTTCTGCGCGTAACAAGTATAATTTCTGTTAGCGCCTTATGTAAACGAAATGCAACAATTCTTATCTCTTATCTAATCTTCCGTCTGTTTTTCCATGGTTATGTACAACGACGCGTCACAGCCTCTCTCTGACTGAAAATTAACCGCCACGACATTTTTATTGTACGAATACTTTTGATAATACGGATCGAGAACCACGTATTCCAACGCCGTATCCGTCGTCATTTCGTCCAGCTTGCCTCGAGGAATCTTCATTTTAAGAAAGTCTCTTTTATTCACCTAGATGTGTACGACATAAATATAACGAATTAAAAATTAAGAAATAAAGACAGCTTATAAAAAAACTCAAAACTGCACACATAAAATTGATTGTATTATACAACTTCATCTTTGATATATTTATATTTTAACGATATTGGAATATGTATACTTACATGAACGTGCATTACAAGATTATAATCCACGTCAATTTCTGGCCATTTCTGCTCAAACAGGTCCTTGTTCAGGTCGACTTCTGTGTCGCTTATAAGATGATGCCTCGCGGAACAAAAGATAGCCCACAACTCGGAAGCAAAATGCGGAGCGAACGGAGCGAGCATTATAATTTGAACAGCTAACGCTCGCTCGTATTCGCGACTTTTTCTTAGGCACTCTATGCCAACCTTTCGCAAGCTGCAATTACAGGATTGAGCTGTATTCCAGGTACGTTACTAAACGTAATACAATTAATTACCTATTTGTGAGACCTTGCATTCGAGATATTGCTACGCTCAATTGCTGCGATTCTACTATATTAAATGTCACGTTTTTGAGAAAATAATTGCGGCTGTCAAACATGTATGCATCGTGCTCGTCGTATTTAGGATCCGTAGGTTTGCTCTTCAGTTCCTCCAGAGATATTTTGTCGCGTTCAACTTTAAATTGTTTAACAATGGTCCAGAGACGGTTTTGCCAGTTGTTTATACCTTTAATAGCTGAAATATTGTGCAAACAGCCGTGTTAACTTTCTAGGAAGATTGCCATTTAAACGGTTGAATTTTGCAAAACTTACTACTTTCCGACCAATTTCTAGTGGACGTTGGCGCAACATCGGCCAGAATTAATAATCTCGTCGCGTCTATCCCGTATTTGTTCAACAGATTAAGAGGCTCCACTCCGTTGTGCTTGGACTTTGACATTTTCTCCCAGCGCATAGAGACAACTTCTCCAAGCTTTGTCTTGTATTGATCCCCTTCCATCGTCACCTCATTCTCTGGCACGTATTTGCCAGTACGTACGACTTGATACGTCTTACCCATTACTACCCCTTGCACGAGGAGCTGTCTAAAGGGTTCTCGACATGGTAAAAGACCCTCCGAGTGCAGAAAGTGACTCATAAACCGGGCGAAGAATAAATGAAGCACGGCTGAAAGACGCAACATTAATATTTGAATATTAATTTGAGACACACACGTAAATGCTGAGGTGCAGCAATTAAGAAAATGTTGCGGTTATACCGTGTTCTTTTCCACCAATGTAGAGATCCACGGGGAAAAACTTCTTAGCTTTTTCTGCCGAAAACATCTTTTTCGTATTTTTCGGATCTACAAATCTTAAAAAGTACCAGCTGCTATCTACGAATGTGTCCATCGTGTCGGCTTCCCTGGTCGCCTTTCTTCCACACTTGGGACACTTGGTCTGCAACCAGTCCTTCGCATCGTGGATCGAGGATTTCTTATTCGAACCCGAGTACGTCACTTTTGGCAACATCACGGGAAGCTGGTCGCGCGGCACCGGTTGTGCGCCACAATTTTCGCAATGAATAATAGGTATAGGCGTACCCCAGTACCTCTGTCTAGAGATTAGCCAATCCTGCAGTCTCGAACTTACTGGGTACCCGCCTATACCCCATTCTCTAGCTTTCTCGAATACTTGGGCCAACTTTTGCTGCTGCTGTTCGTAGCTACGTATCGAGTGCCGGGAAAATGGTATCCCAACCGAATCCGAGAACTTCATGTCGTCCATCGATGCCGAAGGTATACCCAAGCGGGTGTCTCTCCACGGTGGGTAAACGAGTTTGTCGGTGACGAAGATCGGCAATTCTTCGCCGGAAAATGGATTTATCACTTTCGCGTCTAAGCCCTTTATTCCGACGTCTATCTCGTACGTGTGTCCTTCGCGGTGTAAAACACTTTGAGGGGATACAGCAACGAACTTTGCGTACTCCAAAAATTCCGGCATATCGGTCCACAAGTTCAATGTCTCGGGAAATTCTGGAATTTTGGACACTAATTTAAAGTCAATATTAATGCCGTTGCAATCACCTATCCAGTGTTTTTGCATTTTTATAATATCTCTCCACTCCTTCAAGGTCGGATCGTTCAAACCCTCCCACAATGATCTATGACATAATTTATTTATTAATTAAAAGTACGAAGCGCCTCGGAGAACGCTCGATAAGACTTTCGAACTTACTTTGCAAAGGCGGTCGTTCTGACGAACCACTGCTTCAACAACTTTTTCTCTACGAGCGCGCCGGACCTCCAGGAGCGCTGATTCGCGTCAATCTGTTCCTCGGCCAGGACAGTCTGATCGACTGGATCCCAGTTAACGTAGGCTTCCTTCCGATAGGCCAAGCCTCTGTCGAACAATCGTAGAAACAGGTCCTGCGTCCACTTGTAATAATCCGGATCGCAGGTCGCGAATTCTCTATCCCAATCAAAAGAATAATTTAGCATCTTTAATTGGTTACGCATCATCTCTATATTTTCATTTGTCCATACGGCAGGATCGATCCCCCTCTCAATGGCAGCGTTTTCCGCTGGCAACCCAAAGGCGTCCCAACCCATCGGATGAATCACATCTTTACCTACATTCAGCGCAGGATTTATCGTGTCTCGTCTATTTGTTAAATCCGGATAGATATCGCGACTTCCTGCGAGGCTTACCTTTCAGTCTGTAAAAACGTGCTACAGTGTCGCTTATCGTGTAAACTCGAACGTGACCCATGTGCAAGGCACCGGACGGATACGGAAACATCGAGAGAACGTAAAATTTATCTTTGGCGCCGTCATTGTTGTTGACACGGCACTTCTGAGGGTTGATCTTGTCACCCCAGCTTTTCTCCATCATCTTTTTCATTTCCGGCGTGCACATCTGCAAGACAACATTTCGATAAGTAACACGACGACACTTGAGCCTAATCTACAGTGTGCTCTCTGTATCTAGAAACATTCTATTTTATATAAACAAATCGAGACGCGTAAAAAAAATGTGTATACAATTGTATACAATTTATCCACTTGCGTGAATTTGTTAAACATATTCATTGTCTGGAACTCTAGGAAGTAGAAGTACATATTCATTATTTATTCTCGCTTAATCCTTGTGACTCTGACTTCGGTTTAATATTGTAAGTTTTCGAAAAGAATTATACTCTGTTTTGACCTGCGTCGACTTTATTCTGTGGTCAGTATACTTTTCATTTGCAATGTCCTGTAATTAAACTTGTAGATTACATTGAATCCCTTGAGAAGGACCACAACCCGTGTGATCGAGACGTCGGATTTAAATAAAGAAACCATCTGCCAGCCTAAAGTCGTCACAACGATTCTTTTTATCGCTAATCAACTGGCGATTCGCATTCTTTCGTCGTTTACAAAATAGAATGTTCCTAGGCGCAAAGAGCACATTGTAGATTAGGTTTCAAAGCGAGGTTTACAACATGTTCGAGACTGAAAAGCCAAGCGATAATAAACGTCCGGCGTGAAAGGATCGAGGTAAATGCTCGAGCGGGAAAAGTACCAGTGTCGTGTTGGCGGCCGGCAGTTGGGACGACCGGTGGAAGAAGTGATTCAACAACTTTCGTATCTTGCATCGCGACGTCACTCTGAGGGAACGAGGCAAGCTTTGCATCGTCGCCAAGTCCGGAGTCCTACCGTGTAAATAAACGCGACTACCGACTACCACGTTCAGGCGCATCTCGTCCGCACGCGGTGTCAGGTCGCGTTTTTCGCGCATGCGCGCCGGATCGAGGAATTCGAGGCTCAAGGAAGTATCCAATGCAGACAGACAGATGTCTCGCCAGTCGCCCGTAAAGCCTCGTCCACATAGACGTCGTAAAGTCGTAGTCGTAAGAATAGTCGACTATGATTGGTTAATTTTTATGTGTCTGACTGAATTGACTAATTACAGTCGATTATTCTTATAACTGCGACTCTGCGACTCTCATTGTAGACCCAGCATAAGAAATTTTCTTAAAGAAAATTTTTGGAAATAATTTTCGCTTGTACGTAATATAACTATGTAAATTAATATATTACATAGTTTAACACATACAATATGATTAATATAAATTTAAATATAAAATATAATATGTGCGCCCGTAAAACGTCGTCTACAATGAACGCAAGACGCTAGGCCGCAAGCAAGAAATCGACCAATCACAGTCAAGTATGAGAAGAACGCTCGACTGTGATTGGTCTATTTCTTGCTTGCGGCCTAGCGTCTTGCGTTTTGCGTTCAATGGCCGCGTTCAGCAGACACAACTGTTGAGTGAGCGCTCAATGATTTCTTAATATGATTGGCTGGATCTAAAAGTATTAACCAATCATACTGAGCGCTCACTCAACAGTTGTGTCTGCTGAACGCGGCCTATGTGTTGCTGGTTACTGCCGCGCATGCGCGAAAAGCGCGACCAGTCTGACATCACTGCCCGCGCAGCCTGCGTGCTCGACGCCACGTGCGCTGCCATTTTGCCCGCACGACTGCAGACAAATCGACCGCTCGTGCGACCGAGAACGATCGTTCGTCTCGCCGTTACCGGTACGTCGAGTACCCTCGAGTACCGAAGGTCGCGATTAATTATCATCCCCGAGCGACGCGGTTAGAGGGTTTCTCGTTGCGCGCGGAAACGCGACCAGGAGAGGGACCGCTGCTCCGAGAAACGCCACTTCCGCCGGCCCCTCGCTCCTTTTCCGGTTCGTCTCGCGTCCGTGAGTCGGTGAGTGAGCGGCGTGTGTTTTAAATCCGCGCGAGGCGTCGCCATCCCGGATTCTACACGCTACGTGACGACGGGAACGCGTGTTTTCCGCATCTCCGCTCGCTTTCGCCCGGTACACTCGGTCCCCGTGACGAGACGGTCGACTTTCGATTTGCGCCCCGTTTACGCCGCGAATAAGAGGTTAGAATCCGAGCGCGATGCCGTCGGTGAACCCCCTGGTTTCTCTCCGTCGCGGCTCTCACGTCCGCAAGAATCTAAAGCGTCTATCAGTATCCAATTTTACGACAAATACGGATTGTCTGTATGCACGCGCGGTTACATCGCTCGGCGTAGACTATCGTGGACGCTAACCTCTCGTTTCGCAGTGAAATCGGACAGATTTGTAATCGAGTTACTGGGCGCCGTGTCTCTCGGACGAAAATCTTTAATATTAAGTGGCGTGTGGTGCAAATGCCGAATCTTGAATTCTGTTGCAGATATTAGGCGTCCACCATGGGTAAGGGAAATAATATGATCCCAAATGGCCATTTCCATAAGGATTGGCAACGATACGTCAAGACCTGGTTCAACCAGCCAGCGAGGAAGATCCGTCGCAAGCAGAAACGTCTCAAAAAGGCGCGCGCTGTCGCCCCTAGGTGCGTACATACCTCAAGCATCAGTATTGCATTGATATTTAATTCATATTTCCAGATACAATCTTGGTTTACCACATGTCTCTGCGTATGTGTGTGTGTGTGTGTGTGTGTGTGTGTGTGTGTGTATGTGTGTGCGCGCGCGTGTGTGTTCTTTTTAGCTGAACTGGTTGCACCAGTTCAGAGTTTATCTTCCATCTACACTGGACGGAGTAAGATGAACTCTGCTAGAAAGAACAGACCCTGTATTCAATGCCTCTATATGTGCATCATAAGGCGACTTTTGGCGATTGTTTGGTACATATGCCATAGTATAACCAGAGAGAAGCCTGAGAGCGGCCACGCCGGCCACTATGAAGTCCACCACTTTGTTCGTGTCCGTGCTACGCCTATTTTTCAGGATCGTGCTGTAAAATTCCAAATTGCATTAACGTAAATTATCCGCATGATATTTGCATACAACTTTTCTCGTGTAGACAATGTAAATTTTATGTAAATTAGATGTCGGAGTGCGTAGCACAGACATGCCACCAGGTGGAAATTTTATCGGCAGAGTCTGAAAATGCGTAATGAAATGGTGGTAAAAGTAAAAATGGGCGTGACCCCTGGTCCACACCCTAGCAGCACAGTGCATTGATTAAACAGTGGCCCAATATTTGGTTGTATTGCCAATATTTAGCCAATGCACTGTGCTACTAGGGCAATCTTGCTTTAAATAAGTTGTAAGCCTTAAGTCATAAGAAATTAACCAATTACAGGTGAGAGTGAGGGGAATAAATGTATGTGATTAGTTAATTTCTTACGGCTGAAGGCCTGAGATTGTGGACCATAGGTAAGAGCGCGCAAAACAGTCTCCTGAAACGGTATCGAGTAAGACGCCGGTGTGGCCGCTCTCAGGTTTCTCTCTGGTATAACTAGTACGCCCGCTCTGTCATTTGTTTTGTTTTGCGTCGATCCTTTCTGTGCGTCTGCAGAATTTATTTTGGTGGAGCGAATGAGACGGATGTTGTATATGTGGTAGTGTGGCAGGATTTTATATCAAAACCACGGCGGAATACCATGTGATCGAGACCGAAAAGATGAAAGGACCGACAGAGAGTGGGCATACTAGTTACATTATGCGTATACTAAAGTGTACCAGAATGTACGCTCTGTGTCACGAATGTTTTTACACCTGGAAATGATCGTTAAGTTCATTCATTTATTAAAAGACGTTCATGATGCCGAGTGTACACTCTGGTACACTTTGGTAGATGTATCAAACATTCGTCAAAAATCGTCTATAGTATAATATAGTGTAGCTAGTAAACGGAGTAGGTCCACTCCGTCATTTGTTTAGTTTTGTGTCGATCCCTTCTGTGCACCCGACACTTTGCTGGTCCCGTCATGGAGAGAAAAGTTGCACGTGTGGCAGTGTAGTTTGATGAATATGTACGCCACTGGATTTGGACCGACAGAGAGAGTGGACCTGTTATACTGTGCATGTACGATAAAGTTCATCTCTTGCCTTGGTAGTTTTGTATCATCGGTTATCTCGTTCTAGGCCTGTAAACCTTTTGAGACCTATCGTGCATTGCCCGACATTCCGCTACCACACCAAGGTCCGCGCCGGCAAGGGTTTCACGCTCGCCGAACTGAAAGCTAGCGGTCTGAACAGGAGATTCGCTAGAACAATCGGAATCGCGGTCGATCCCCGCCGTCGCAACAAGTCCATCGAGTCTCTGCAGACGAATGCTCAGCGCCTGAAGGAGTACAAGGCTAAGTTGATCCTGTTCCCCGTGAATGAGAAGAAGGTGCGAGATTGCAAATTGTTCCCCTTTTTCGTATTAACGGGAATATCTGACCCGTGAGAAATACGCCGCGCGCTCGTTCTACTTTACTCGACTCGCCTGACATTTCAGCTCAAGAAGGGTGACGCGACTGAGGAGGAGAGGAAGCTTGCGGTTCAGATCAAGGGAGACCCCATGCCCATTCGACATCAAGCGCTCGCCAAGGCGAAGGCCCGTCGCATCGCCCCGGACGAGACCAAATTGTCGGCATACGTAACCCTCCGCAAGGCACGAGCTGACGCGCGATTAGTCGGCATTCGTGCGAAGCGCGTTAAGGACGCGTCAGAGAATCCCGACGAGGTTACTAAAGTCGCGAAGGATAAGAAAGCCAAGAAGTAATTCTTTATACATATGACATCGTTTTTCTTTATGTATATACAAAAATAAAACTTTCCTCCAGTGGAGAATAAATTGCCGTTTCCCCTGGGATCCTTGCGATATTTTTTACAAGTTCGTGTCAATAGAAGCGGAGAAGACAAATTATTGGTTTCACCGAGATTCGCTTGGGTATTCGCGTCATTGTTGGCGGTTTCTCGGTAATTTTCGCTAATTTTTTACACGTATATAACACGTAAAAAATTGAAAAGGGGAAGATTCCTGCATTGCCGAGTTCACGTCGCATGTTGCAACAGTTTTCACGTTCGAGATCAGCAATAGCCATAGGATTACTTTTAACATATTTGATTTAAGAAAAAAAAAGGGGAGGAAAGAAAGCGTAGCATGCAGTGTCGCGTTGCGCCAATCGTTTACCCGCCGCGCACGTATGTTTAACGCGACCGCCGTCCGCGTGTTGTGTCGCCGCCGTAGCGCATCTGTCACCTCGGTAATTATACGTCGGGACTGTCGGAAGTCGGGGCGAGATTGATAGGTCCGTCGGCGAGCGTCAGATTCGCCGCCGGCCGTCGCGCCCGCGACGGTGACTGAGACGACGTCGCGTCGAGAGAAACCGACGCTGGCTCGATCCGGGGCTGAGGATCTCGTCGCACGGGGCACGTACGCGGTCGGCCGCGAGGTTATGGCAGCGGCCGTACGGAGGCGAGGAACGAGCGACGGTCTCCCGACGCGAGCGGATCGCGATGTAGCGGGGAATTGAGGCCCCGGGACTCGGACGGCGTCGCTGACATGATGGAGCTGAAGGTGTGGGTCGAGGGAATCCAACGCATCGTGTGCGGCGTCACCGAGACCACCACCTGTCAGGTACGTAACCACGTCGCTCTATTGTGCCACGGCCTTGGGTGTGTGTATACGTGCACACGCGCGATCGCACAGCTGTTATTTTCTAGCGAACAAGATCCAACGAATCGGGCACTGTCTTGTAGAGAAGCCCTGTCGCCTTCGCCAGCACGCGATGCGACAGGAGCAGCGCGCGCGCGAATTTGCCGAAATAAATAAACAACCACGGGCGCGCTTCGTTTCACGCGCGATGCGCACAGTGCATCGTTTGCCCATTTTGTTGTTCAGCGAATATTAAAGAGAGAATATAAATTGTGCATGAAACGCTAACGCACCCTTGGTCGCACAGTTCGGTGGCGTATATCTCACTACTGTGCGTTTACGATCATCAAGATTCGTATCCGTAATATTTCGTGTCTTGTAAACGCTCCGCTATTTTTCCAAGAGCCGCCGCTGACGACCAGTTTGTTTGTAGGATGTGGTGTACGCGCTCGCCCACGCTACGGCTCAGACGGGCAGATTCACCCTGGTGGAGCGTTGGCGGACCAACGAGCGTTTGCTAGCACCTTACGAGAATCCTCTCAAGGTCGGCCACACCTTCTGTACAACCTGTACTTATTTACTTAATAGCATTAATTAGGTTTGAATTGTGAACTCTTGGACAAAACGAATTACGTTAATGTAATCGCAGAAAGAGTGAGGAGAATTGATGTATGATTTATGTGGATTAGATTCTGATGAAATGGGGTGAGTACTCGTCGGAGGTCCAACTGATCCTGAGACGTTCCACGCCGGAAAATAACAAAGCAAACGCATTGCCGTCACGAGCGTATGCAACGCGCCCAAATGGATTACCAATTTCATTGCCAGAGCATGGAACGGGTACCGCTGGCACGCAGGACGACAGTAAAACCGTGTCAACCACTCAAAGTTTGGATTTCGACGAGACGCCAGGAGGATTGGAAAGGAATAGAGACACCAGGAAATCCCTCACATTTAGCGGGTTTCACGGAGGCGTTACAGAAGGTAGCACAGAGGTAAGTCTACAAGTAAAGAAGAGGGGAAAGGCCATAAACAGTACACGCATTAACGCACAGATAATTGTTATTAATGATAAGTGTTTCAATATAAATTACCTCGGGCAAATTTTGGACCCTGTCCACATTCAATTCTTCATAATTAATTTGTGCACGTGTGAAAAAAAATGTCATTTTAGATTCAAATGGAAAATAACGTAGCTGTAGTCCAGCCCACGCCGCATTTGAAGAGCAAGGATTTGAACGTTCGAAAAAGTGTACAAAAACCAGCGCATTCACCTACGCGAGGGACTAATGCCGAAAGTGAGTCATTCTATTTAATTTGCCTACATTAAATACGCTGACACAATCGTATTTCAAGCTAACTCTACCTCATCTGCTGCAATGATTCTCACGACGTTAGACTTTTTTTTTTCTTTCGTTCTCGTTATTAATTCGTCTCCTTTTCCCTTCAGTCGCGACGCACTTGTCGCAGAAGAAAGTGCGCGAGGTGCCGCCTTACAGAGAGCCTCCAGGCCCAGCTTCGCCGCCCGGCCTGCGCACCTTGCCACCTTACCGGGACCCGCCGCCGCCGAATTTGAACAGCCCTGGGAGATCGCAGTTTGTGCACGGCAGTGGAAGCCCCCATGTGCACAAAGACGATCAGCCATCGTCTAGTAATTCCATGAAGCTGAAAAGAAATCTCATTCAGGTTTCATTGCTATACTTGATATAATAATAATTCAAGGTTATTTGCGTGGGTATTTACAATGTATATCTTTTATAGGAGTTTCAAGATACAAAAGTGCCTACACAATCTGTTAATCCACTTTCTGTCACGGCACAAAATATGGCAACTGTTGCTTATACTCAACGATACGTTGAACTTATAAGACTAGTCAATAAGCAGCGGGATACCATTAATGCTCAACAAGCTGATCTAACAAAAGTAAGACATTTTCTTCGATTAATTGATGCAATTAAAAAATATTTAAATGTTTTCCAAATAATTATTTATCGGCGTCGGTTCGATTAATCTGTCTAAAAATATGCAATAAATTATAGTCATTACTCATTCCAGTTTGATGCAGAAATATTGTATTGGGAAACAAAGAATAGGGAACAAATGCATCAAATGGATTATATTTCCCAAGAAATGAACCGCATTGAGTCCACTGGTCGTATCATCGAGGAACAAGTAATTTTGTCTATATTTTTTCATGTCCGAGTACCATATATTGTGACGCTTGTGATGTTAATTATTCATTTCCTGTCAATCAGCTCAAAGAATTGGCACATGTGGAAGAAGAAAGCGAAATAGTTAAACAGCAGGAAAAAACACTCAAGTCAGAAATAACATTGCTTAGATCAAAGCTTGCCAATTGCGAGACGGAACTCCTTCAATGTAAAAATAAGATTAGGTAAAAAAAGTGCGAGCAATGTCCTTCATAAAATTGTAACAATTGTTATTGTTATCTCACGAAATACATAATTACAGATTAGTTATGGAAGAACTTGCAATGGAACAACACAATATAAGCCGCGAAACGGATGAGCGGCAAATTATGGAACGGAAAATAATAAGTGAAGTGGAGCATTTGCAAAATGAAGTAGAACAAGCTAAGCGCGCGACTGAATTGGCTTCGCAGCATGCAGAATCTTTAAAATTAGAAGTAGTTAATTTGGAGTCGGCGATTGTTGAGAAGAAATTGCAAGTAGAGAGATTGGTAGCCGACATGAAGGAGGCAAATCTACAAAGTTTAGCTGTTGCATGCTCGGATGAGCAAGTCAAATCTTTATTAGAAGGTATGTATTTGTATATATCACATGTGTATATCGTTATGTTTATTTGTTATGTAATATTATACATTATATAACTGACAAATAAAATTGCTTAATTATTAAGGTGCCCATAAACCTGGAAGTACACGTAAGATGATAGGATCGCCAAGGCAATTGGAAACTGCAGTGCCCACAAGTAAGAATCCACACGGTGTGTGGGTATAAGTAAAGAAACCAACATACCTGATGATACTATCTTATATGTGAGAAAGCATATCAAAGAATATATTATAGACGTTAAAATATTATATGTTTATATTGTTTAGTAAAGTACAAAAAGTACTTAATTTTTTGTCATATCTTTTATGCATTTATTTCAGTAATATTAATTAGTATTATTACTATTAAGCACATTATTGATAAATTCTTGTCTTTATATATATCTTCATCTATCGTCTCATTTGCAAAGAAACTTGTGAAATTATTAATCAAGTTTACCAATTATTACATATATCACTTATCTTTTTGAGAGCGCTTATTATATTTTCCATTTCTTTTTACATGAATATTGAAAAGAGAAAATTATTTTGCTTTTGAGCATTACATTAGCAAATTTTCTTTTCATGATCAGTAGCAATGTAGCTTTTCAGATGTATAGCTAATTCCAGTTTATGTAGGAAGTAATGTAAAAATCAAAATTACTAGTATACTTTATTAATTTTGTACTTATTATATTTATGTTTCTTAACAGCTATTTTATATTCTTTATACCGCTAAGAAATATTTTGCCATAATAGATTTAATTATAGTTTTGTATTTTTTTTTCTTTAGATGAATTATAAACGTTAATAGGAATTAGTAATAATAATTACGTGATTTTTTAAAATATTTTGCATAAATTTTGATGCCATTTTAACCGTGAAGTTGTAAAATTGTTAAAGAATCATTGAAAGTACTATAGTAACCAGAACAAAGCTTAAAATTGTAAAAGGATTTGTTTATCTGTAAAACCTGTAAAGTTCAAGATGTATAAATTCGTTGTGTGACGCAGGGTATAATTTCATGTATGTTAAAAAATATATAATACGATATGACAAATATGATTTTATGCAATCCATAATCTTGCAATTTTGCGGTTTTGGCATAAAAAATCGACAATATGTGTCGCAAACATATGATTTTTTTATATATAAATGTCAAGTATTTTCATGGCATATTGATATTTTTATTAAGAACACACGCATTTATTTTGTATACCTGTAGTTCTGCCATTAGAATTAAAATAATATATATATCTTATAATATTGAATAATAATGTTATAATTAATGTCAGCAATGTATTTGAACAGCATAACTGTGCAATAATTGATTATATGATCTTTGTCTCCAAAATAACAATTGTATTTTGTGCATTTATATGCAATTTATGCGTTCTATAATAGTATTGTTCTAGAAGAGTTCTAGTTTAATTCCTGTAATTAAATTTTCCTGACAAAAATTAATAAAATCTGTTGCACATTATAAATTGTTGTTTAACAACTAGTCTTTCACTTTTCCATTTAATCAAGAATTTTTATTTTATATTACCCTTTATTTCAAGCTATTTTTTCAGTACATTTTCTTTGCCGATTATATTTGCCTGATATTTTGTCAATTCCTGACATACACAATTTTTGCGATTTGATATTTCAAGTTTTCGAAATTGCAATTCTTGAAAAACATTCAGAGAGATAGCACAACCTTTTTGCCGATTCTGCTAGTTTCTCAGATCAACTTTCGGGATTTAAAAAAATTCCGAAATCCTGAAATTTTAGATAATATCTCCTCGCGAAATTTATTCTCCGTACTTTGTCGATTTTTGAAAATTTAAATTTTCATCATTTTATAACCGCCGGTAATTCACTAGTATCTTTACCGACTGTGGCAATTATAGCTGAAAATTTTGTCAGCCGTTTTCGGAGCATCGTCCGACACTTGTGTTAGGAGCATAAACACGATAAAATGAGTTTGTGGGTTGACAAATATCGTCCAACGACACTTGCGAAGTTGGATTATCATCTTGAACAAGCGGAGGACTTGAAGAATATGGTAATATATTGCAATCGAGGCAATATTGTGTAACATATCTGGAGTTTAAGAGGTTAACCGGCTTTAAAAGCGCGCCTTCTAAAGAAAGGCAATAACATTGTTTCAAACGAAATAATAATAGTTGATGAATATGATTTTTTTGAATATGTATTTAATGAGTCACGAGACAGAAAATTATATAGGTTGTAAATTTATTTTTAATGAAAAACAATAGATTACAACAGAATAAAATTGCAATTACTTAAAAATTGCTCTTACTATAGAAATAAATAAAAAACTTTGCTGAAATGCATTACAGAATTATGCCGAGTTAGCTGAAACAGTTTTAATTATATTTTTACTTTATTTTAATTTTTTTTAAAACACCAGGTGCAGAAACGAGACTTTCCACATTTATTAGTACATGGGCCGTCTGGTGCAGGAAAGAAAACTCGAATATTATGTATTTTAAAAGAGCTTTACGGAGTTGCGGCTGAGAGATTAAAAATCGAAAACATGCAGTTTGAGGTGATTAATTTTTGTTTTGTCTCGATTATGTTAAACTGTTTAAGGCCTGATCTCACCAACGTCGTTTAACTGTAAGCTTAGCTTAATTCGTTCTTTGTCTCTTTCCTGTTACTTTAGAAAGAGACAAACGTGAATGAAACTAAGATTAAAATTAAGCGACATTTGGTTAAACCGGGCGAAAAAGGTATACTTTTACTACATTGCAACAGTTAATTTTAGCACAATATAAGACATTAATTAAAAATGTTACATTTGTGTTATTTTTATGGCACTTTCAGACGCCGTCTAAAAAGAAATTAGAAATATTGACAATAAGCAGTAATTATCATACGGAAGTAAATCCGAGTGATGCAGGAATATACGACAGAATTGTCGTCATGGAATTAATAAAAGCGACTGCGCAAACGCATCACATAGACATAGGCCAGAAGGAGTTTAAAGGTATTGAAGAAAATGGCATTAGACCATTTTTCATTCTTAGGCGTTACCGATGTTTTGTATGTACGCAAATACCTACAGAAGAACGAAAATTACAATTTCATTGCGTAAACAGTGGTGCTGCTGTCAAACGTGGATCAGCTGACGAGGGATGCGCAGCACGCACTTCGCAGGACAATGGAAAAATACATCAACACGTGCAGGCTGATTCTTTGCGCGAACTCAACGTCGCGAGTCTTACCGGCGATCCGTTCGCGATGCGTGCGAATCCGAGTCCCCGCACCAACCGCCTCGGAGATGAAAAGTATTTTACACTCGATTTGCAAACGCGAGGGACTTACCCTACCCGATGAATTAGCCAATCGGGTGGTTGAGGCTAGCAATAGAAACCTCCGACGAGCAATATTAATGCTCGAGGCTTGCAAAGTCGAGCAGTGCGTAATGTTATTATATGGAGATGTAGTCTTATTCGTTAATGCCTGGACCTGCATTTTTATCATCATTTTTCTCATCTATACAAATCACTGAGTTTCACACTGTCTGTATGTACTACCACACACTTCTAAGAGAAGCTGTGTCAACTACAGCCTGAAACTCGTCGATGTACAGATGGGGCTAAAGATTATGAAAACGTGAATCGTAGTAGAACTGAGGTCCAGGCATTAACGAATGAAACTGTACATGAAAATTTATTGACTCTTCAATTGTCAAGCTTTTACTTTTCTTCGCAGCTTTAAAGAGGTGTTTTTTTTTCCTTTTTCAGATATCCATTCACTGTCGATCAAAAGATATCGGAACCGGATTGGCAAGTATACATACGCAATACAGCTAGTATGATGGTCTCCGAACAATCCCCCAAAGTGCTTCTGGAGATACGCAATAGATTTTACGAGCTATTAACGCGTGCTATACCGTGCGATTTAATCTTCAGAGGATTGTTGCAAGAGTGTATAAAAAACTGCGACGATCAGATGAAGAGAGAAGTTATTGATGTCGCATCGGACTACCAGCACAGAATGATACGTGGTTCAAAACCAATATTTCACTTGGAAGCTTTCGCTGCGCGATTTATGGTGATTTACAAGAAATACATTGAATCATCTTTAGACGGTTTCATATAAAATTGTCTGTTGACTTTTTAGATCTATGTGTAAAATACATATTTTTTATATCTTTGATCAAATGGGCATATAATACAGTAAATTCTTTATCTAATTGTGTTTCTTACTCATCTAAATAGCATAAATTCAAGCCATATAGATTTCATGTAACTATTTCTGTAAATGTACAAGCTCTTATCTCGCTTTCCGCATTTTGTAATTGTGCTAAGAGTTTATGAATTTTAATTCTCGATTTCCTTTCTTATTCGTTGTGCTTTAAAGCTTGGATACTACCTTTGTACAAAAATTAACAAACTATGCATATTTAATTCTTAATTAGAGTACGAAGGAGTAAACATACATAAGTTTTAATAAATTATTTTATTCTGTAATATTGAGATATCAATTCAATGCAATGTAGTTATAATATAATCTGATACAACTAATTTTAAAGAACCGTTTCCTGGCGAATGTGCGACGCTTACATCGCCGCAAGTACAAGCGCGGAGATTATTGACAGGGCGGATACCACATATCCGGTGCTGTACACCTCCTTAATCGATAGAAACATCCCCAAGTCCCAAGACTGCAAATTTATAAAAATACACATTACAATGCATAAAGTACCAATGACATTATCGTGCCGGCTCTTTCCGAACAATAATGGAATGCAAGTTGAACAACAATAATTGTCCGCTTACATTGCCAATCGTTTTAAATAAGATCACATTTAGATCATACAACTATACAACGGTCGCGTACCAAATGACGGATGCCATTGAACGTATGGAAAGTAGCAGGCAGAGCGAGTAAGGTCTTGCCAGCGAACAGTACGGGCAGAGGTAAGCACCAATTGTTCACTATTTCTATGAAGCAGGGAATACCACCTGGTATAAGCAGCGTGCCTGAAACGCAAGATTTACCATGAGAAGTATCCAACTTGAATTACATATATTAGCTGATAAACCGAACTGAATGTACAAGCTGGATCGCGCGTCTTACCTAAGCCAAGGAACATTGCGTAACTGGCGAGCATAATGCCAGTAGTGCGATGCGATATCGAGAGCACCGTCGTCAGCTGAATTTGATAGATGCTCAAGTGCGGCGATAGCGGTCTCTTCAGACGTATGTTCTTCTCATCGTGGGTCTCGCACGCCGCGCTCGAGAGCAACGGCTTGGAAACCGTGGCGGCGAGGGGGCTGAAACACGCACACGCTCTATCAACATCTGACAGCGAGACGCGATTAATAGAAAATAAAGTGATACAATTCATGATAAACGTGGGAATTTGTATTAAATAAGCAGAAAATTAAAGCTTAATGTACGCGTGATAATCGTTGCTGTTTTCGTAAGGAATCATTCGACATTCTTTACATGAATGACTGCAGTTATGTAAATTATTGTTCGAGGTTATGCATTACATAAGAACTTACCCACATGTGTACAAGCTTCGGAAATGCCGAAAATCGACGTTGCGCCGGCAGAGAAGTCTGAAAGAAGCGGAACATCGTTTTCGTTTCAACGGGACGAATAACAGATTTCTATAAAAGTCCAATTTTACGGCATACCTCGTGTAGACCAGCGCCATACTTGTTGACGTTAAGTGCACTACACTCACGGCGGTTGATAAGCGAGCGCGTCAGATCGCCGGACACGATGTATTATTTTATTTTATATTTTTATATTATTGCAGCGACACACAGGATTATCTTTAATAAGTAACGTGTCTTTAAACGTCATGAATAATTTCAGCTTGATGCAAATCAACTTTGACAGCGGAAAATTGTCGACTAAGTTCAAGTAAAAGACGCCAAAGGCAGCCAAAGGAAGTTAAGACAAACCTCGGATATTAGATTTCTTTAAATTTTAATTACAAATCTTTGATTTATACAAACCTGACCCAACAACGAGGTTGAAGTGGTGGAAGTTATTTAAAAGTATGCTAAGAAAGCGACACTTCGAGATCAGTTTTACACGTATCATAATGAGGCTGACAATGTCCCACTTTCTGGCTGTAAGCTAAAGTGAATAAAAGTTTTGATTGATAAATGAGGTTGAATGGTCGGTGGAAGTTAATCACAAGCATCCTAAGAAACTTATATACTTCAAGAGTATATGTTTTACACATATAGTAATAAATACCTATAAAAATCAAGAAATCAAATCAGAAATAGAAACATTTACTACAGTTCACGAGAGAAACTTAAATATGCGGGACGAGGGATCGAACAGAGGACCCTACTATTACTAATCACTCATGTTAGCACAGAGTTACACGTCGTTCCAACCCCTAGTCCCTGTTTAATGAAGTCAGAAGTGAGAAATGATACGCCGAGAATACTGGCGTTACATTTTCAAAGTAACAAAAAATGTATTATGAGTGATGCAACTGGTTTATTATATAGCCACGCTACATTAATATAGAATACTAGAATACTAATAGAATTTACGCATTGAAATCACATTTTCACATTGAAATACATAAATACAATCTATACGATCTCTATGCATGTTGGATTGGGACTTGTCTTTCAATTTGGTCTTCTCAAAATAGACCTAGAATTTTTCTCTTTCTTTCTTTACGAATATCTACAATTGTTCCATTTGTTATCAATATACAACTATTTTATCACTTGCCGATTTACTTGCGTCGATTTACTCGACAAATGTTATGCTAGCGACCGAATATACTAATCTATGGTTTAAGATTACACTATCTAGTATTGCATTATGTAATTTTTGGTGGCGGCATATCTTTCCCATTTCGTTGTTCCGCCGTTTCCGACAAACGCGTGTCGCGATGTGGATCATAGCCAATATGAAGACAGTTTCTAGTCTTCATACTAGCCGTTTATAAATCAGTAAACACTTTTTTATCCAACTCAGCAATGAGAAGGCTCGTGTCCGAGATGGGTAGGGAACATGAACGGTCGCGGCATATGAGGACCGTCGTTCGGTTTTCCTGCGGTTTCACTCTCTTAACAATTTCGTTCCTACGGAACAGTATGTTGTCCGACCGCTCAGAGTCCGCAAATATGAGCACTCTACCAGGCATCAGACGCTCGCGAATTATATTCAACATCTCAACCGTCTCCTTGGCATCCATTTTTCCAGTTACATAAATCTGAAAAGAAAAATTCATTGGAAACGTATATCGAGAGCTCTCAGTCTCACAAAACGCTGTTGTCAGTTTTTCAGAAACAGGAACACCCACCTGCGTCGGCTGATGATACTCGATTAGCGATAACATCATTTGTGGACATGCAGCCGGACAGTTCACCAGTTTGTTGCCGAACGCGCACACAAGTTTTGCAGCATTATTCCGGAGATCGTCGCGATCCAGGTAAGTTGCTAGGCGCAGCATATTGGAACACGCGAGTGAATTACTGGACGGTTGTGCGCCATCATCAGCTATAACGAAAAACATTAGACGTTAATAAAGTTTTACCTATGTATATCAAAATACGGTTAACAAATAATGCAAAGAGATATTCAGTTATGTTAAAAAAATATTTGGCTTGACATTAAAGCCTACTAAAATTACTAGAAAAGCAACTAAACGTACAGTCTTTCGTTCGTATCGTAAGTATCGGAGACTTCTCGGCCATAGAGAAGTAACCGCCGTCCTTCGAGTCCCAGAACAATCGGTCCTGAATATTCTGCAGCTCTTCGGCAAACTCGAGCCAGTGCGGGTCGAAGGTGGCCTCGTACAAGTCGAGCAATCCTTTCACGAGGAACGCGTAATCCTCATGGAAGCCAGATATCGGAACTTTCCTATAAATCATCGTATCATAGATCTTGCATGCGTGACATTAATACGGATGTAAGACAGTACTTACGTCTGTACAATTGCATCGTCCGTTCCCCTACGATAACAACTGCGTAGTAGTATACGTTTCTCTTTATCGAACAGATATTGCTCGATGAATTTGGCAGCTTCCGTCGCTGCTTCAACATATCTCTGGTTCTTTACAGCAATTCCAGCACGCGCAAGGCCACTTATTATAAGGCCTGTAAATCGATCAAAAATCGTTAGATCAGACATTACGGAAATGCGCCCCACGAAACTCTGTCACGGCGATGGTGACACAAACGTCACTCATTACAATTCATTTACCGTTCCATGCTGTGATGATCTTGTCATCCAGGCCAGGCAACGGTCTCTCTGATCTGGTGAGAAACAATTTATCACAGGCTTCCTGAATATATTTTTGTGTGTCCTCCACGCTAAGCTTGAAATGGTTAGCGGTATCCTCTATTCCCGATTGCATCCAAAGTACGTTTTTGCCTGTGAGCTCGCCATGAGGATCCTACATTGCAGAAAATCACACTCACAAATCTTGTTCAAACATTTCATTTGTTTTTACGGTCCCGATTGCAAAACATACTTGTGAACTCTCTACATTTCCTTCCTTCCGCACTGAGAATTGTCGGCAGATAAGGTCAAAATATCTAACATTGTCCTTACCAGGTACTTTCTTTTTTAAAAGAGACTTAAGTTCGTCATAGGTCCAAACATAAAATGCGCCTTCTCGTTTCGCTGAGGCGTCTGGATTAGGTAGCGAGTCCGCGTCCTCCGCGCAGAAGAAACCACCTTCCTGAATAATTTGCATTCTGTAAATATTTTATATCCTCCCGCATGTTTGTCGCTCTGTATAACTTTGATTTCAAAAAGTCTAAGTGAAGAAAAACATTTCTCGTAAGTTGGAATAAGCGTTGTAGCTAGAGCACACATTCAAAGTATCACCAGACGAACGAATAAAAACGCAATATAATACCTTGTGTCGTAACGCACGAAGGGTGTACGTCGCGATATCGTCTACGATATCGGAAAAGAAGGAGTCTTTCGTAACGATGTACGTGTCAGCATAACATTGTATTATCAGAGCTTGATCGTAAAGCATTTTCTCGAAATGAGGCACTCTCCATTGAGTATCCACAGAATACCGGTGAAATCCCTGAGAGATAAATAATTTAAATATTCGGTTCGCGCGTTATAACGACGAAAACGCAGAAGCCTTACTTTCCCTATGTGATCGTGAATCCCGCCGTAAGCCATTTTCCTTAAGGTGTTCAGGCATGCGTCTAAAGACATCTCAACCAACATGGCAGAAGTACTTAGAGCATGTATGCTGAGAAGAAAATTTAAATTGCACGGTTCAGGAAATTTCGGCGAGTTCGGATTCGTGGCAAACGCGCTGCCAAATCCGCCATACTCCTTATCGTATATGTTAAACAGGATATGGGCACACAAGAATGCACAATCAATTGGGGGAACTCCATCATCCTGTGTCACAAATCAATCAATAGATACAGTAAATAAAATAGTTTTAAGGCCTCGAAATCCTTAAATAGCATTCGCTCACTTTTACGTCATGTCTGCTCGTGGCCAATTTCTTCAAACGTTCTGTTATAGTAGTGGCGGATTTGACCATTTTGTTTTTCTCCTCCGTCCACTAGAATAAAAGAAAATGTTATCATTTATGTGTCTAATTTTATCCATTCTATAAAAATAACTTGCAAAATTGTATGTGATAAAATAGATGCAAATTACGTAAAGCAAAATATATCACATGCTGTGCCTATACCTCTTTCGCAATTCGTTCCAAGTACAACGTAAACATTGCAGCGCTGAAGTATGTCCCGCCCGTAATCGGCATCAAATCCGGCGTCAGGAAAACACTCAGCGGCCAGCCGCCATGGCCTCTCAATCTCTATCAAATTAAATATCTTCGTCAGTACATTGAGCAGAGAGCTAATAACCAATTATAAGTAGCAAATACATTTTACTGCTTGTTCTCAGACCTCGCATAATGGAAAGGAATAAATTGGACACCTGCCTGAACAAACATCATGCACATCGCGTCAATATCGGGCCTCTCTTCTCTGTCCACTTTGATATTAACGAAATTCTCGTTCATAATTTTCGCGATTTCCTCGTTCTTAAACGACTCCTTCTCCATCACGTGGCACCAGTGACATGTGGAGTAGCCGATCGACACAAAGATTATCTTGTTCTCCTCCTTCGCCCTTTTCAGAGCCTTGTCACCCCAGGGATACCAGTCCACAGGATTGGTCGCGTGTTCCAATAGATACGGTGATTTTTCCAATATCAAGCGATTCTTTTTCACTTCAGGCTGTTCGGTGGCCTTCTCGCTGGCCTTTTGGGACTTCTGACGTAGTGGATTTCGGATGAATACCGAATCCATCGTGCAGGCTGGCGTCAGGATAGGCAACGAGGTGGACAATCTGGTTTTTTTTTTAAACGTAATTATCAATAATCACCTTTATCAAACATCAAGCAAAACAATAGAAATAAAATATACAAGCGTGTGTACGTAATATGATATAATCACCTCTTCGTACACGCAACAGTAGTGGCACGTTCGGTGAGATAAACTTTTGTACGACACCCCTGCGCTCCCGCACTCCCCTGTTTCTTAGATAACTCAGAGAAGCAGCGGGCTATTGACGAATTACATCTTCCCAAAATCATAACACGCCTGGCATGGAGAATGTACGCAGTGAAGATGATCCTGAACATACAAACAGTCGAATAATTATTAAATAATAATTAAATCGAATATTATTGAATAAGTAGCATTATAATAGTGTCCCTAGTAGCACAATATATTGGCGCAATATTGGAAAATAATGTAAATCTAGTATTCCCAATATTGGTCCAATATTGTAAGGTAGACGCCTTCTCTTATTTAGCCGATATGTCGGTTTAGCAATACTGGTTTAATATTGACACTTATTTAGACAAATATTCCTATTACATTGTTGAATATTGGCCAATGCACTTCCAATATAAATCTAATATTATATAATTATTATTGCGTAATATTTACATTTATTCCATGGCCAATATTGGCTTTACGTTGGACAATATCGACCAACGCATTTCTAATATATAACCAACATTGGACCAATATTTGGCCAATGCACTGTGCTACTAGGAGTTGCTCATTTAACAGAAAGCAAAACAGCAGGTGATAATAAGCAGTTTCTTTCAATAATTAATAAATAATTAATTAATCTTTCCCCTATTCTTTTTCTGCCTCTCGAAAAGTAATTATTAAACAGATATTCTTATACAACTCTCCTGGTACAATGGCAATGTACTCAATATGTAATTCTCATGTCGCTCATTCGTCGACCGCAAGATGCAGTTTACTTAACTGAATTGTGTTTAGTGAACAGACGATAATTAATCGACGCGCAAAGAAAAACATCCGCGAGATAAGTGCAAAAAATGCTGCCTACTAAATGTCAGGCTACATTTTACCTTAATGAAGGTAAAATGCTTATATCAACATATATCAATGTAATTTACTTAATGAAGAGTAATATAAAGAAAATCCTACTTACAAAAATTTGCTACGTAACAAACAATTCTAAGCCAGAAATATAATATATTAGTTTTTTATCTATAGATATTTTTGTCGATTAATGGATATACTTTCGGCGTGTAAAAATTACTTTTGTTTATTGAATGTATAGCAAAGATACAAAAGTCATGCTACCACCTCTTTTCCTGCCATCTCCATGATCGCCTTTAATATCTTGTTAAATCATTATCCTCTATCTAATTTTTTAACAACTCTAGCAAAGCCACTTATTTGCAATGATTAAAACGTAAAGATTCCTTAGTTTCGCGTCTACAGCATTCAAACTATCTACAATAAAATTACAATACGTTTAATCTCTACGACGCAAACACAGTGAAAGTGTAAAATTTAAATTTACATATATAATCGTTTATGTACATCTTAAATAAACAGCTCTAAACTCGGATAATGCATTCTACTCTACTTATACGGAGCGGCCCATTTAATTCAATCTATATTAAATTTAAACGGAGAATCGAGCGCGTGTCTTTGTAAGTGCATTGAAATGCGAAAAAGCCGTCGACGTGCACTTTACGAGATGTAGCTCGCGCGTTCATGCGCGCCCGCGAAGCAGCCGTCAAAAATTCGCGGGCCACCCGGTACCGGGCGCAAGTAGAAAATGGCGGATCTACGCGCCGCGTAGATTCTACCGAGCAGTCGTCGCGCGACGTCCGGCGCGACGTCCGGCCGTCGCGAGAGATCGCTCGGGGTGTCGCAAATCCTGCGTCGAACCTCCCGACGATCAGATAAGGATTGATAAGCCGATAACGGCGTTACATACGGGGGCTCTCGGTCCAACGTAGAATGCAGACTCTTCGCAGCCTCGAGTTTCCTCCCGTTGATTCGGGTCGCCAGATGGCGCGCCGATCGCCGGGCTAATTGCTGCGCACTTTCGAGCATGCACGCGCGTCGAGAGCTCGAGCGGTCACGTGACCGGACGCAACCGGTTACGAACATGGTTTTCTCATTATAATATCAGCAATAATAGTAGTGAGAGTAAAAAGAAGCTACGCTGACGATTCTCGATGGAAAATGCCGATTAACGTCCATTTCTGCCAATGTAATTAATTTCAATCTCGGTTCATCTTACTCTCCATCTTTACCCTGGTCCAAGAATCAGAATAAAATATAGATTAAACTGACAATGAGATTAAAGTTAATTCAGCACCGACAGAAATGGACATCAAAACGACTCTGAGACCAAGCTCCGGTCGAGTTGACAAGCAATTGATTAAGATCGACGATCCAGCGGATCCTGAGATAAGACTCTTAGCTGCGTAACTTAAGTTCCTCGACAATTCTGTCCGTATGAAAAATGAAGGAAAAAACATTTATTATAATTCTATTCGTGTTAATGAGATAATAAATAAAATATGTGTGACAAAATTTATCGCCGCGATTCCACAGACGTGCAGAACAGTTTGCGATAACGCTTCCACTAGGAAAATATGATGCAACGTCGAGACGTTTGATATGACGTCAATATTATAAGACGCAATAAACGAGCACAGCGCCAAATGGAGAGACAATTGAGTTTCTACCAATCTCTGGCAATTTCTACAAATTGGTAGAAAGGGAGGAGGAGCATATCGGGGTATCTCCAAGCTCCACATTTCTCTATTCTCGACGTACTCCCGATACTATAAATATATCTCGAACATTGTCTCGAGTATGAGGTACGCACGTACAAGGAGATGAAGCGAAAATAACCGAGGCTGCCCCTTACCTGGCGCGACGACATTTTAATCGGTAGCGTCTTGGAACGGCGGCCACGTCTCGCGATCAACGGATCAATAAGCACCGACGATCTAAAAAGCCTATACCATGTGCGCCCGCAGCTGTCATGCACTATTTACGTTTCTCGAGGATCCGCAAGCGTGAATCGTCCCGTCGTGTGAGTTGAGTCTCGGCCGACCAATCGATAATCGGGTAGACGCGAGTTCCCCGCGCGTCCCAAAATCTATTCTCCTTTAGTCGTGCAGGCGAATCGTCAAAGATCTGACGTCACTGCACCACATCCAGCGGTAAAATATCAGGGAGATATGACCGAAATATGAAATAATCAAGGCCTGCGATGCTCGAGAGCGATTCTGCCACTTTTGGCACCTTTTGCCCCTAGAACTGTCAATTCGCGAAAAAACATTCGTGTAATATACAAATTATGGCTTTTGTGTGCAGATTGGCAGTGTTCCACTAATCAGACTAATGCCCGTTTCTACCAATGCAGATTAACTTTAATCTCAGCTTAAATTACTTCTTGGATCCTTTTCCAATTCATAAAACTAGAGAAAGATACAAAGCAAGTTGAACCGAGATTAAAGTTAAACTGCGTTGGTAGAAACGGGTATAAATCAGAGAACAGCACGCTATCATTGAAATTAAGTTTAGAAGCCTAACAACTTTTTTGTCGCTGCATTTGCTTGTAGACCAATCAAATTCGTTATGCGTAAGCAAAAGTGTGCTCCCCGCTTTAAGTTTTACTACTCAAGTTTTTCAAAAGTTCCCGGAGTTGTGAATGCAAGAACTCAGGAATCGCGTTGAACTCTGAAAGTTCCCTTTTCTCCCTTCTATTTGTGAGAGAGCAATAAAAGTTTCAGCAGAAAAACTATTACCGGTTGCATATTTGCGAACGCAGCCGATAGAGTAGAGAACGTACTTTTCGACGTCGATAGGGAATTTCTCGCCTTGCCCGCGCGAGATCCCTGAAATCGATTCGGTGCTCGGAAATTATTCTCGTCGCGCTCCTGTTGATCTGACAAACGCCAAACAATGCGATAGAATTGTCGTAGGCGGCTCCCTTCGCTCGGCAATACATCTCGGCAATTTAGCCAGAGGAGACTCGAGGGAAAGAGAGTTACGTGCTGTGGTGACGGGGAGAATGGCAGCCATACACCGAGAAGCGATACAGAAACAGATTCAACAGGACTGGGCTAACCGCGAATACATAGAAGTTATCACCGGCAGTATTAAAAAGATCACGGATTTTCTTAACTCTTTTGGTAATTCGCCATTCGTATTTTGCTCGCGAAACTGCTATTGACCCTTTCATGTACGAATTGTTTTCTTCTCCAGCGAGTGCTAAATCTTCAAACTTTGCGAGTAGGACTAATGCCCGTTTCTACCAATGCAGATCAACTTTAATCTCGGCTTAAATTATTTCCTGTCTTTTTCCAATTCGCAAAACTAGAAAAGGATACAATGTAAGTTGAATCGAGATTACAGTTAAACTGCGTTGGTAGAAACGGGTATAAGTCACTTGTATTTTTAGTATTTTGTACGCTGCAATATTATTTTTTCCCTTAGATATGTCTTGTCGGTCGAGGATAGCGGTCCTCAACGAAAAGCTAACGACCCTCGAGCGGCGAATCGAATATCTCGAGGCATGCGTAAGCGATTTTACTTCTTCTATTTACATTAGAATATTATATTACTGAATTATAAAAAGTAATTCATCTCTTAGTATCGTATATCAGTAACGTGCAGAGTTGTAAACCGAACCGAACCATTGAAGTGTATCCGCTCCGAGAGAACGGATCAAAATTTCAATTATAAAATCGTTCCGATCCGGAGCGAACCATTTTTTATTATGATTTCAAACGCTCCGGTTTCGAACCGGAGCATGAAAAACCAGTTTTGGAGCGGTTTCTTTATCTAAAAAGGATTTAATTTATTTAAAAAGATTTACCACGTTTGAATCTTTGCTACATAGCTGGAGAGGTGGTAAATGTGCAAATTTCACCAGTTCGGTTCGATTTGTATTCCAAGTTCTAAATAATTTACTTCATTCATTCGGTTTTCGGGGCGGTTTTTAAACTCGAACCGGTTCAAAACCGCTCCAAAGAACGTATTTATGCTCCGGTTTACAATCTTATTCGCTCCGGTTCGGTTTACATTCCAAGTTCCAAATAATTTATTCCGTAAATTCATCCGGTTTGCGGAGCGGTTTTTAAATTCGAACCGGTTCAAAACCGCTCCAAAGAACGTATTTTTGCTCCGGTTTACAACCTTGGTAACGTGGCGTTTCTCTCACGACATTACCGTGTGTATCTTCCTTCTCATTGTTTGTATCTCACTTGTTTGACAGGTCACAAAGGGCGAGACGCTGACGTAATGCTTCCACGCATGTGATACGACGTCCTTTTTACAATCCCTTTTATTTCCTGTACTAGAACGTGAATAAATACATGACGAAAGACACATCTTGTATCTTTTTGTAACAATTGTACAGTATCCTCATTTAACTTGTGTCAGCACTAATTTCTCTCTCTCTCTGTACATGAAAGATTACTCCCACTCCCTACGTCCTCTGGGGTCCTTCACGAGGGTGAAGTCCCAAGGGAAGCTAGTGTGTGCCGTGCGCACTTCCGGGTTCATCGGAAGGGGATTCCAGCCGGTCAGGTCGCCGTTCTTCTTGATCGTGGCGAGAATCGCCAACACGACTGTGAACTGATAAGCGAACGGGCCGTGCTTCTGCCAACGGTAGCAGATCCCACCGCAAGCTAATGCTGCAACGAGTATACAAGGAAATCCGATAGCTGCCGACATCTCCGGTGGATTCGCCTACGGCTGACTGCAGAAAACTATCCGCGAGCACTCAAGTCTGTCTTAGGGTCAGAGCGCAAAGCAACGTAATAGCTTATGATCAAAAACGTAAGACGTATACAATAGACTTTCGCGACTCGAGTTTTTCTCTGCCCTGCCGTACGTTTGCGACCAGGACAGACTTAAACGTTTACAAATGGTTCTCTGCGATCAGCCTACGTCTGTATGTTACGTACAGGCTAGAATGTAATTGAGATAGCCGTCCTTCCCCCTAATCTTCGTTGTTGTATACGCCACGGAGGCGAACGTGGCGCACATGGCAGTGACGGGTACGATCCAGTAGGAGAAGCAGTTCACCGTACTCCAGAAGGTCTGAGTCTGAGATATGAGTATGGAGTCGTACATGCCCATCGCGAAACTGCCGGCGAATCCAAATTTCGTCAGTCCGACCAGCTTCTCGAATGGACGCTGGCCCTCCGGCGAGTCGCTGTACCTCCAATTATTCCAAAAATAAGTTAACAGCATGGTTGAGGCTAAAACAGAGAGAGAGAGACTGCCATGAGTCAGGTTGCACGCAAAGGCAGAGAACGATCCGTAAACGCTTACGACTGTTTCAGGCTCGATTGTCCCAACCGTCGGGCAAGGGCTTGAGCAGAATGGCTGTCTTATACTTTTAAGACAGTCTTAAGACAATGTTTTATGTTTCAAGCCGTTGTCTTGAGGTAACGCGCAATAACTGTCTTAATGTCTTAAGAGTACAAGACAGCCATTCTGCTCAGACCCTAACTTTTTGCCCTTTGGTTAACATCCTTTGTTTCTTTCTAAGGCCCGGTCTACAATGAGTCGTTAGTCGTTAGTCAGAAGTCGCAACTATATGTTGATCCTTTTCCTTTCTGGGTGGAAGAAAAAGGACCGACATATAGTTCCGACTTCCGACTAACGACTAACAGCTCATTGTAGACCGGGCCTAAGGCCAGGGGGTTAATTCTGTATCATACGATACATACAGCGAAAATGCGAAAAGTGAGCGGCTTCGTCTCTTCTAGGGGAACGGCTGGAAAGAGACAAGGCTATTAACTTTTAGCATTTTCACTGTAATGTAAGATACAGAATTGACATCCTGGTTTCACCAAATGTCGCCTAACTTTAATCTCAGTTTCGTGTTTGTCCATTTCTAGAGCAACAGCTGGAAAGAGGCAAACGTGAATTAAACTCGGATTAAAGTTGAGCGACGTTTGGTGAAACCGGGCTTGAGACAGTGTTAAGCGTTTACGAATCGTTCTCTGCCATCAGCCAAAGAGTTTCTTACGACTGGGCACGGTCTGTGCTGGCTGTGCTCGCTGCAAATGCATTCTTCTTCTCCTTCCTTTTGATGAAGAAAGGAGCAAGAGAACGCTTTAAATTACTTTAAAATATCTGTCGCGTCAAGTAGAGCGCAGCTCTTATCGCGTTTCTGTACCTTCGGTGAAAAATGCTAGACTTCCAGTAATCAGAACCGTCGATTAACTTGGATATGTCTTAAGAGTACAATCATACATCAATAATATATGATTGTGGCGTACGTAAACGTCCGAGAATGAAATGTCCACACATGGGACTCGACTCTGCCGTAAAAGCGTGTTTACGAAAACAGTTGTTAGATAACAATTACTAGATAATAATTGGTTCATTGTTCGCCCCCCCCCTCCCCCCGAGGAACGAGTGCATCTCGCGCGAATATTTATGTCGTAATTTAGCAACGGCATTGTCACGGTCCCGTGCGAAGGGAAGAAAGAGAGGCGTCAAGCGACGAGACGCAGATATTCTGGCCAAGGATGACATAACGTCGATGGCTCTACATGCATGCGTGTGTATGCGTACGCACCGCGAGTCCTGGGTCAAGCCTCGCAGACTCAATTCGCCATAAATGCAGACAGTGGCACGTCGGTCTGGATATACCGCACCCCCGAAGATGCTCTAAAACGTATCGGAAGTATCGTGTATTCGTGTAATGTGCGTGCGGGTCTCACACGGGCGCCGGAGGTAGATTCGGCCTGTGGCCTCTGCCGGTGAAAAGAAGCAAGGACGGTTGGTAACATTGGAAATTACCGACGTCGCATTTCGTTTCGTCTCTTCCATCCGGGAAATCAGCTGACGAGAAGTGACGAAGATGAGGAGGGCGGGGGAGGGATAGATAGAGATAGATGGACTTGCGGTAAGAGACGAGTTCTTGCTGCAGAAAAATGTCCTAAAGATACAAAGAGTACAGGATATTAATATTTTATAAATAACTCTTATTTACGTAAGGGTGCCTTTTCACGTAGCAATAATTTGGCGTTCTCGTTTCCATTTGATTTATTATATTACTGTTGTACGGAAAATTCTGAAAGACACCGTACTTTTCGGATCTGAAGAGGAAGCCGAAACAACAAGTAATGAAACACATTTTCCAATCGTATTATTTAATTGCCATTAGGTCGTGAAATAATACAAAAATCAATGTGCAAATTAGAAATTTATTTCATGAAAATTGTAAAAGTAAATGCTATTACATAGCAACCGCAATACAAAGAAATATTATAAATATTTTTGTGGGAGGTAATGCATATTCGATTAATGTGATTATACGTATATCAATTTTATCTTACGCGATGAATTCGATGAGCTTTTACATTAAAGAATGATCGAATTTCATCTAATAATAGAAACACTCTAAATAAGATACTTGAAAGAAAATTCACAGAAACGACCATAATACTTAAATTAATCGCGCAAACGTATAGAATCTTATCTAGTTGGATTCTAATTTTTCGATGTGCGCCAACTTAGAGACTTTGTCTATCAGATGTGTGAGGTAAGTCTTGTAATTTAACGGCGCAACTGATACACAGATGTGTTTTATTCTCATTTCATCCTGCAAAACGTAGAAAAAATTGTTAGAAAAAAAATATATACATATATCCTAGAACATGATTTATATACAGGTAAAAAAATAAGATTGCTACGAAAATTAGAAAGAGGGAAGGAGGGGGAATCTTATTAGTATAATGAAATGCACACTGTATCGATTACCTGGAAAACTTCGGATTTCGCTCTCAAGTTGAAAATGAATCTTTTGAAAGTCGCCTCGCCGAATTTATGCAAATAGGCATCGTTATCGCTCTCTTTCAATTCCCCCAAGTTTTGTGCCGATATACCCAATACCTTCTCAGCTTCTTCACTAAAGGCAGTTATCCAGCGATTGCCTGTCGCATCCACTATATTCATCTGAGAATTGTTACGACAATAAGTCAAACAGATGTATCGAAATATAGGTACTTGCAAATAATAAATAAGAACAGCGCAAGAACAATATACGTACACTTGCCAGCAATCGATATGAGAAATTTGGATATTCCTTGTTACACTTCTCACATCTAAATACTCCAGTAGATTGATCGATTAACTGAAATTGAAGTTTTATGATAATTCATATTTTGTAGCTAGAAAACATCATCGAATTTTCGTTTTATAAATTTTATTCATGACGCATACTACTCACTTTTTTCTTACAACTTTCTATGGGACATGCCTTATAGATAGCATTTTCCATGCGAATCATGTTGATGGTCGCCACCACCATAAATGCATCTGAGAGATTCATTTTCTCTCCCAATCGAGCTTCGGTTGCCTCCTGGAAAGTGTATAACGGCATGTTTGAGTCACCACTTCCGCCTGCTCTCGATAATGATTTAGCATTTTCTGAATGGCCACCTGCAGTGTACCATCCGCGCAATCTGAAATACACATCACAATACATCATATAATTGTACATTACTGTGTCTTTATGTAATTATATCTCCAACATTGTATATTTACAACATATTATCCTTAAAGAAACTTGTTAGAAGTCATTCTAGATAGCAACAGATTCTAATAAAAGTTACAATTGAAAAATTAATTAATATTAAAAATTGCATAAAGAGCAGTTAGAAATTGAAGCCATTTCTCTTTTATAGTCGATTACAAATAAATTTTAATTATAACAAAACTAGAATTGTTTTAATAAAGAATCAGCTTGAATATACCTGTGTGCTTCAGGGAGATCAGGATCCTTTTCAAGCACCGAAGAATTCATAAGGGACAGGTTTTTTCCACCATTGAATTCACCCACACGCGCTCCTTTAATGGCCAAGATCGCGTTATTGGAACCATCGAAGTCCTCGGCTTGTTTTCCCCATAGTGTAACGCATACCTAATTAAAAAATTCGTTTATTTATCCATAACAGCAAAATGTTAAAATTTAGTCGTGTCAATAAATTGCTTACCATCGTACTACTGTCGTCGACGATATTGACATCTCTCTTGACGAGCTCTCGGCCGGTAGATCGCTGTACAATATGTTGTACATCGTTGAAAGTTGTAACGACACCCAAGACATCTATCACGCATCATTATACCCATTATTTTCAAAATCGTTGAATCATAGGTCTCATTTTACCTCATATATATTTTAAATTATTACTTATCACGTAGCAATAAGACTTTAATATGAGATTCCAGTTGATACTTAGATAATTTAGAGACAGGTAAATGTTGACAAGTTATGCAAATTTTACACACAAGAAAATTATCTAAATATCACAAGACAGCAGAATACACATACAATAATGAAAAAAAATCACGTGATTGACGTAACTCGAATTTGAGATTTAATTAGCTCTTATAAGCACATTGCCTATTGCAGGTACCTATTAACTCATTTTTCTCTTTGTTTTCCACTTGACTTATGGGACAGAAGTTAAACTGCAACGTCGGGATGTCATCGCTTTTTTCATGGCAAGGTATGATTTCTGTATCGCTGGTCATCGTCATCTCGTAATCATTTTTCAATGTATTAAATTGCTTGTTCGCCGCTTTCAGCGTGCACCGCGAGATATAATACACATGTCCAGGCTACATAAATAAAAACACTCGACAATTTAATCCTCGGCCTTATCACCCATATATCTTATCATACTTATCACTTATATGTATATATACGATACTTGTCACCAATCTTAGTAGCATGATATATACCTCTATCATGTCATAGAACTTGTCGCACATATCTCTGAATGCAGTACATCGAATTTCGCCACTTTCATCAATCAGATCCATGGAGAAAAGCTTGCCCTCTCCGCGGGAATTGCTCCATGTTCTGATTGCAGACTTGCTAGTCACGCGGACCTTGATCACCCATCTAAACGCATTTAATCACACACATTGTCTCTTATTTCTTCAATGTAACATCTAAAAATGTATCTCACACAATAAATATAAAACAAAATCCTCCCACCTGTTTTGGTAAGGACTTAACGCTGCAATTGGTGTAGTGGATATATCAGAGAAGGAATGATGACTTGAAGTATCTTTTTTGGCCGAACCATCTGTTATAAGCAAAACAGATTTTGTATTCCATAAAATATCGCAAATACAGTAAAGTTGATCTTCAATTTACTCAACACGTAATTGGTTCAAGGCAACGATGTACTCACTAATTTGGTAGCGTGCAGCTGCGCTTGTGGAAGTGGATGTAGACTCGGTCTCTGACTTAACTTCCAAATTAGTTGGATCACCTATCTTGTGCCCAACTTCGCTGCCGGGAATCAACACCTCGAGACCCAGTATCAGAATCACACGTCTGACAGAATAAAATATGCTTCATGTATTTGAATGATTTACTTAGCTTAATGCATAAAACAAGTAGATAAACAATACTTTTCTCTGCCACCATTGTTCACTGAACTCAAGTGATAGTTTAATATTTTGCAGATTGCATTCTCGGTCAAAATACTGTCGGTGATCAGATTATTCAATTGAGTGGCCAACATCGTGAACGAGTTTAACTTCTTCCCGTCAGATACAAGCAATCTGTAGCGATCAGTATCAACACCCTCCTTGTTGACAGTTCTCGCTAGTTTTTTGTAACCCTGTAATGTTATATAAAATTATTGGGATTACATTCAAAAGTTATAAAATAGAATCCTTGCCACACCCAAAGCATGTTCTGTGCACTGTCCTAATTTTTGACAATCAGAATAACTCTAACGCGATAGACATATATCGCGAGTTGTGATACACAATATACCAAAGTATGACGAACACGTAAACCCACAATCTTGGGTGCGTTCTGGTTCACGCATGTGCAAATGCAATTTATCCTTCTTTAACATTTGGTGAATAACAAGGATAAATGATGCATCGTGCGTAAAAGCGGTATCACGCTTCCGGGATAAACAGGTTTAATGTATCAATCTGCAATGATGTAACAGATCAGAACGCTGCCCATCCTGTCATACTCACTAATACTTGGAGCACTGGTTCTACGACATCTACGCCCGCCATGATTTTCTGAAATGATTAAATATTCGCTGTCAAATAAGACAATACAATAAAGCTGACGGCAGAGAACGATCCTTAAACACTTAATAAGTCTGTCTTAGTCGTAGACATGACAGACTTAGGGCAACGCAGAGAAGAACTTAAGCCATAAAAATCTATTGTACATGACTTAAGTATTTTTCTGCCTTGCCTTACGGGCCAGAGCAGAATGGCTGTCTTGTACTCTTAAGACACAAGACAGTTATTGTGCGGTACTTTAAGACAAAGATTTAAAACATAAAACATCAAGAATACATAACAGTCATTTCGCTCAGGTCCTATGTCTACGATTAAGACAGACTTAGGGCCAATTTCACAAACGTCCGTTAACCAGAGTTCAATCGACTCCCTATCGTTTTCTATCTTATTGTCTAAGAAGAGACAGACACTCAATTAACCTTCGGTTAGCAGTTGTGAAACTGGCCCTTAAGGCCCGGTCTACAATCAGTCGTTAGTCGTTAGTCAGAAGTCGCAACTATATGTTGATCCTTTTCCTTTCTGGGTGGAAGAAAAAGGACCGACATATAGTTCCGACTTCTGACTAACGACTCATTGTAGACCGGGCCTAAGCATTTATGGATCATTTTCTATCAGTCTTAGGACCTGAGCAGAACGGCTCTCTGTACTCTTAAGACAATGTTTTGCGTTTTAAATCTTCGTCTTAAAGTAAGGACCTGAGCAGAACGGCTGTCCTGTACTCTTAAGACGTAAGACAGTTATTGTGCGTTACCTCAAGACAACGGCTTAAAACATAAAACATTGCCTCAAGACTGTCTTATACCCTTAAGACAGCCTTGAGACAATGTTCTATGTTTTAAGCCTTTGTTTTGAGGTAACGCACAATAATTGTCTTATGTCTTCAGAGTACAAGACAGCCAGTCTGCTCAGGATCGCACAATAACCGTCTTGCGACTTAAGAATACAAGACAGCTATTCTGCTCAGGCCCTAACGACGTAGCGACCTCGAAAGAGACTGACCTCCAACGCTCCTTCCGTTAGGTCATACATGATTGGTGGTTAATTATTATCAGCGTGGCTGGAAGATTCTATCGTGACCTCTCGTCAAACAAAAAGGGGCCTTTCGTCGGAAAGTCTTGATCCAGACGATCTTCGGATCTCCTATTGCGCTGCTTCCCGCCGAATAGTTGATATCGATGTGCGTTCTACATGCAATCGTTTCGTGCCTTTAGGCGCGTTTCCACTGAATGCGTCACGTGTTGGCCGCGTTCAGCAGACACAACTGTTGAGTGAGGGTGC